CTCTAAAGCTTTATCAAGCACTAGAACAGGTTGCCCAGAGAGGCTGTGGAGTCTCCATCCTTGGAGATTTTCAAAAGCCAGGGAAAGACAGCAGAGGAAACAACCTCCAGTTTCAGGGCTTTTCACTAGATACACATGCCCCCTGGGAGAATATCAGTACTTCAGAATGGGCTTCGTGGAAGTCATTAAAATTTCCCACGTTTACTTCTAATGTTTAGTCTAATATAGTAGTTTGACAGAAATCAGGATAATCTATTTAACTATTTTAACAACACATATGTGAATGATATACCAACTGTTTGAAAATGTCAGAAAAAAAGCATTTCAAAATATGTCTTTTTTGAAACAATTAAAATCTAGCCATTAATTACAAACAAGTAACAGTCCGTGTCTCCCTCATCTAAACCACTTCTCTGTTGAAAACAAATTCAAAGACAGTAACACCAGGCTAACGATTCAAATGAGCAGACTCTTGTTGTTTTCAGTAGGTTTACCAGGTCTGCCTTCTCTGCCTCTCCTCAGCACAAAACCTATGTCTGACCTTGTACTTCCCACTGTTTTTCAAAGCTGAGCAAAGAGCTACTTCAAAAGAGACTGATGGCAGAGCTCCCGAGAGCTGTGCAGCACAGGTTGCCTTGCAGGAGGATGCACTGTGATTCTTGACATGAAATAAGAGAGCTGTTTGGAGTAAAGGCTGCAGTCCCAACCCTCACTAGTGATTTCAAAGCTGTTCATTAATCCTTCTATGAAGAGTGAAATATGCAGGATTCAGATCACTGTCAGGAATAACTGCATGGAATAGTATGGTCTATGTTATGCAAAAGGTTAAATAATACTTTTTTTCCTCAGGATCCATGTATTCATTGAATTTTCCCTGTGCTTTGCAGAAAGACTGCAAATCATGCCATGCAGTGATTTCAGGGAATCTGCAGTTTTCGGTGGCATTCTATATAAATGTCTATCACTAAATATCCAATTTAGCTTTTATAATTTTGGGTGCACTGTAAATAATCATTAGATCTCACCATGCTCTTGAAATAAATACTAAAGAAACATGCTACAATGAGAAATTGCATTCATCCTCATCTCATATGGGAAAGGTGTGAACACCTACAGGAAAGCATTGCCTACTTTACTGGTTTTTTTAAAAAGGGGATGGAATAAAGAAGACGTATAAAGAAGAGTATTACAGCTTCATGATGCATTATAGTACCTTTCTAAGACTCCTTCCATTCCAGAGAACCTTTGTCCTTCCCCTTCACAGTAATACACCTGCAGTTCCTTCTGAGAGCATTAGGTTTCTGCGTGTTTTCTACCCCATCTACATCATGTGTTTTTATCTCCACATGCACTTGTGGAGTACACACAGGAACTGTACCTGTAATTCTGGTCTTCTATATTTCAGGGAACTTTTGGAGCTCAAAAGAAAACTGGTTGTTCTGAAAGATCCATACTTTGCTCCATAAAGAAATTCCCAAGAGAAATCTAAGAATCCTGTCTTTATTCATCTTCAGTAAGTCACTAAGGTAGCCTCTTATCCTCATTAAGTGACTAAGGTAGCCTAACAACATCCAAAGATTCCTGTGTACAACAGGATCGCTGAACCAGCAGGGAACATTTGCATGATTAGATTAGTACCGCGGGCTCTAGAGCAAGACAGGTGTTCATTGTAAGAGCATAAAGCCAAACATATGCAACTGTGTTATGCAGCTGTTCTGCAGCAGACACCTTCCATACAATGGTATGTCTGCCATGTGGATCTAGTGTCTAAATTAAGCTATACAAAAAGACACATCCTGTTGTCATCAAGTTGCTCTTACCTTATGGGAAAGAAGATGTCAAGATTTTAAGGAAACAAAGTAAATTGAAATAGGTATTAAAAACTGAACACACCCCAAAAAAAGTTATCTAGAAAAAAGAAACACAATACTGAGAAGAAAGCTTGTGCTAAGAGATACTGATTTAAAGATACTTTATAACTAAGATAAAAACATAGCCTGTAGAGCAAATCTGCAGAAAGGAAAAACTTTATCTCTCAGTTTCATTTGGTATCTTCAGCTGTCCTGAGGATGAGACATCTGAATTATGCAAGTCATTAATAACCAGCACAAAAAATTACACCTAGGTATGAGAGTTTACAGTATTAAAATAATGTACTTACTGTATGATGGCAATTGTTGAATTTTTTAAACTGCATTTCAAGACAATTAATTAAACTACACTACAGTTCAGGAAAGGTGTCAGGCTGATGCTGACATACTGGAGGATTACAGAATCAAATTCCTTACTGGCTTCTTTGCAATTGCGTAAAACCCCATTAAATACCAGAAAATCAAGCCTAAATACATTTTAAAATAACTTCTCAACTTTGCTATGCTTTTATAAATTCATATCCCTTCTTTGTTGTTGAGAAAAAGGTCCAAAAGATAGAAGGGAAATTCTTCATTAAGGATACACACACTCAGACATGACCCTGTGCACATCTGTGTGGAGGAACTGTTCTTTAAAGGAAGAGACTGGTGAACCATCCAGAGCTACTTAATCTGTAGCATCTCTTGTGACACAACCAACTACAGATAGAGCCTATCTAAGTAATGCCTTTGAGATACAGACATCTGTAGAAAATGGGATCTAGACAGAGAATCCAAACATATAAGCAGATACAGCAAGGTTCTGATCATTACAAAATCTGGTGAAGTTACTGTGGTATCAAAAGTACAAGCACTCTAAAGCTCTTTATGAAGGTCAGGGATATTACAACACATGGGGTCCATTACGTGACATAAGGCTAGATTGCATGTAGCCTTGCCTCAAATGAAAGCCCCCTGCATTCTGCTTAATAAAGTACATATTTTTGAGATCTGCTGTTGCAGCAGTATTAAATGTAAAGTGCTCTTTCAGTTGGGTCATTCTTCATTCTCTTTACATACATTATATAGATATATGTATGTATGTATGTATGCATGTGCATGTGTGTGTGCAGCTGAAGCATGTAAATAAACCTTACAACTGACTGCTTCAGGCTGCCTGTGCCAGAGGCAGAGCTCTCAGTAGAGTGAAGCATAAATTTCCTTAAGACCCTTTGGCAAGCTCATGCTCGATTCAGACTGAGATCCTTTCTCACCTTCTACAGAACTGCAAACTCATTAATGGTGCTATATTGCTTACTGAGTCATTTCAGCATACACAGAGCATGTTAGATTTCTTCCCGCTATCTCCTTCTCCCTGGGTTATATAAGGACATCCTTTCATTTTTGCAAAGCTTGCTAAGTTATGCTGCTTGCAAAGGCACTGATGAATATGTGATTAGTGGCAAACATGTTTGCACTTTCATCTGTTTTGAAGCAGTGACAGATAGGTAAAATGACCCCTCTTTAAGCTGAAGACAGAGAATAGTAATTCCGAGAGATTTTAATCTCTAAGGTGGGAAAGCAAGAAGAATTAAGATTTTTTTATTTAGAGCAGACGACTTTCCATTCTGTTTTCCCGTAATAGTTCATCACGTGAACAGGAATAAATCCTACTGTTTGCTTTGTCCTATGGACAATAGATAAAACCCAATAATTTAAATAATTATATTATCCAAACTTCACTCATTATCCAAACATTACTCACTTCGTCTTATCTCATCCTGTCACAGGTAATATGCATAGCAGTGCATTCAAAGATGAACAACAAGGAACTGATGCCTTTTCTTCAGCCTTCTAATCAGGATTTGGTTGCCAATCAATTTGGCAGAAAACCATGTTTTTAAAAGGTAGATATGAGCTTGAAGAGGCAAAAAACCACCTGATAGGATTTTCAAAACTACAGAGGTTTAACCATGACTTAAAAAGGTTTTAACTGAAAATGTAGATGCTCTTGCAAATCCTATTAGCAGCCTATTTGCATACCATGCCTGCAGTCAGAATGCCTGACCGTGGTGCCACTGAGTGTCACAGGAGATGATGCTGAGGTGACTTGTAAGCAATAACCTTCCTGAATTTAGTTCCATGGAACTATCATAGCTGATGTCTGCTTCAACTTATGTGTAGTTGCTCACCACACTGTGGAGAAATTGGCAGGTGTCAGACCATTTACACACTGGTATTAAACAGTTTTCCATGGCTTTAATCTTTTAAGGTTACTCAGGTTTCCACAGAATTCAGGACAGGTGAAACAAGAAGGATTCTAAACTGCAAGATCAGTCCTGAAGGTAAGAATTTAATTCTCCTAATATACTCTTTCACAAAGCTGCACAGATCCAGTAGCTCCAGGCAGAGTGTGTTTCTCAAGACCAATCTCACCCTTTTTCACTGAATGCATTCATGAACAGCATGAGAGGGTACAACGTTCAGCATGCGGAATTCCTGGCTCCCAGTTACACAGGAACGAAAGGAAAGAAGTGCTGCCTAACTGGCCAGACTTTGGGCATACTGAACTACAACAGTGCCCCTGGACTAGGTCACTGCTAGACAATACTAGACACAGACACTTCACAGAGCACCTCCTTCTACTGCCTTTTTTATCACATTACGGAGGATGGCTCATTCCAGCGGCCCATGAGCAAAAGAGGGTCAGAAGAACTTCACAGTCTTGTGGCATTAAGACCAGTGTATCTGAATACTCTGGTCATGGCTTGATAAGAGCTCAAGGACTGAGTTGACACTAAGCTTTTAAAAGAATGCCAGAGGACCAGGACAGCACTCTAATGCACTTCCTCTATTTTATCTGGTTGTGACTAGCATAGCACAATAGTGTTCAGTGAAATACATCCCTCCTTTATGTTTCTATGATATTATACAAGCCTGATTTCCATCTCCCTTGCTTGCAATAAATTTTTTTCAAATTTACAGCAAAATCTAGTTATTATGCATTGTATTTTTGCATCTTAAAAGGACATTACGATGAAATGCGTCTGAAATAATTCAATAGCTTTACAACAGGTTTGTATGGTCCATCGTTATTTAAGGCATTATAAAATGCAATGCATTGTTTATCCCTGCAAGCACACCACTTACCCTCAGCATAGGGCCATTCTGGAACACATGGGGTTCATCACAAACTACACAGTATTCATTCAATACTGGTATCCGCTGCTCAGCAAATTCAATAGTCTGAGAACAATGAAAAAGAGAATAACAACATCTGCTTAAAAATAATTAACAGTCAGCTCATGCTCCACAGTGTTCCATAAATGGGTAAGATATGACATCCTACCTGCACAAGAAAGCCACGGTCTCGTACTGGAATGCATTTTGCACCAAAATTTTGCTGCAAGGAAAAAGTTGAGGCAACTTCAGTGTTGGTAGACTAATTATAAGGAAATGGTAAAACATTTGTATTTTTTGCACGCAAATATGTTAATTAAACAATATTTGCATCTAAAAAGGTCTCTCATTTGCAAAAACCAGCCATTACAAATAATCAATCCTTTTACTGTTTGCTGAATGTGGGATAGATTTTTAGCATTTCTTTTCAGTTCTTAAATCTGGTGAGGTTTTGTATCTCAGCATCCCAAAAGCTTTCATCTCAAATGGAAACACCAGTGCCTTCACTCCATTCTAATAAATCGGCATTTGGTAACTTCCATTAAATTTTAACTGCATATTGTCTATCCAAATATGGGCTATCTGCTTAGGCTTGAAAGACTAACGTAATTCTCAGAACAGCTGAAAATATTTTTCTTTTCTATTTACTGATATCTCGCTTCTGTAAGCACCATGCTAACAGATCTCTGTGCTCAGATCCCACTCAAATTCTTTCTGCCTTTTTCTTTCAACACACAGCAACATAAATTAGAAGGAACTTCTGTTACAGGAGTCAGTAAGGTACAAAATCCCTTCTAGGCTGACATCTATCTTAATCAAACCTTGTCTTGAATAAGAGTCAGATCACCTCCATTTACAGCTTTTTTTCATTTTGTTTATAGGCTTATTTCCCTTCATTTTTCTAACTGCTTAATTGTGAAACTTTCCCCTTTTTTCTCCTGGGAAACAGTCCTCCTAATTGTATTCATATATGAGACTGAAATACTTCAGCTAAGAACTGAAGGGAAGTTAGGGTCCCTATTTATCGCTTCCACATTCTACTAACTTCAAATTGCAGTTAGGCACCCAAGCTACCCATATATCTGGTGCCTGCATGTAAAATGTGAAATGGACTGTTGATGCCCTTCCGCTAACATCAGTCAAACTGCACCTGACCATGTATGTGATGATTTTCCCTCAAAGTAAATGCATTCTAGCAATAAATTACTGGTAGTTTTTATAGACCGCCAAGCAGGGCTTGCATTTCTTCCATATCAGCTAATAACATAAGTAACGAAACCACTTAGTCAACTCTTCATTATCTTGTCAAAATCAATGGGACTTTTCCTATTAACTTCAGGAACGAAAAGTCTTGCTATGTTAAGACCTCCTCTGCTAATTCAGAAAAAAATGCATCTCTAAACTGTGACAAGTAAAAAGTCTTTTGGCTCACCTTAAATTAATATTGCTGTGCACACTACAGGAACCAACCACACAGCATGTATATAAATGATTTTATGATAGTATATCACTGCTTTTAGATCTGATGAGTATAGCTCACAGCTTATTAAACTAATTTACCCTGAGACATAGCACACTCAATGTAATTTCATTATTCAGAATGCACTATTTTGAGTATATGTATGGCATTTCAAGCAAGAATCAGCTTTTTCTCGCCAAGAACATCAAGATACCACCAGGCTAAGGGAGTGGAGAGGGCTGTCTCCTAAGTGCCTCTCCCCAGATCTAACACAGAAAACAGAAGGGTGCCTTGAAAGAGTGCAAACAGACCCATTCTTTCCTCTAAAGTATAAAAGCCATCTTTTAAGAGGCAGAGGCAGAAGAATTAATTTTGAGCGCTCTTTCTTAAATTTAAGAATATGTGCTACCCTTTGTCTTCCCAATCCATCATGTCTCTGGGGAAAGAAAGGGGGCCAGTGTGGGCCTAACGCCTTCCCCAACCTCCGGCTGCCACAGCACGTTTGAAGGTTAAACCTTTCACAAAGCACAAATGCGCAAGAGGTGAGCTGAATCATGACTGCATTCCTTCCACTATGATGATGATCACAGATGCAAAGACCAGAAGGAGAGGTGACTTGGCACCTGAACAAGCCAATGGATGGTTGCTTCCCCCACAAAGCAAATGGTGAAATGAGAAAAGACCTGTGTGACCAAGCCAATTTTGCAGCACAGAAGCACATGCTCTCCCTTCTTCCTGCAGCAAGAAAGGAGGCAGGGAAGGAAATGGGTAATTGAACTTTCCCCATGGCCAGCAGGTACTCTGAGCTGTACTCAACGTGACGTGTAAAATCTCTGTCTTGACCTAAGCAAATTCTGGTTTTATAACTTAACAGTTGTTTAAATCCTCCTTAAAAAGCTGACTCCATTGCTCTTGTCTTCCAATATATTCAATATATCCAATATATTCACTAACATATGTCCTAAGTATTAATGCCTTTGCATAACAACCATAACAGCACGTTTGGAAAATAATAGGAGGAAAATGAGCAGAATAAAAAAACTATTACGCACAGCAGCTTGTGAAGGTGATGGTGAAGATGGTGTTAAGATACCAATAAGCCCTGAGGTAAGAGAGAGCCTCCGGCTCTCTGCTATGGTGGACTCCTTGAAAGGCTCCATTTTGGATGATTTAGGGGCATTGGAGTAAGTCTTGCTGAGTAACTTGTGATTCTTCAATCCATCCAATTCTTCCATTCTAAGATTACTGGAGTAGGACCTGCTTAAAAGTTTGTGGGGCTTCAAGGTGCTGTTGTGCTCACATCGAGGGTCCCCAGAACATGACCTACTTAACAGCTTATGGGGCTTTAAAGTGACGCACTCCTCCTGCCTGATAGCTGCAGAGCAAGAACGGTTCAACAGTTTGTGCGATTTAATAGCCATTGTCTGTTCAGTCCTAGGGTCACTCGACAACGAGCGGCCAAAGGTTCTGTGAGCTTTTGTGGCACACATATCCTCCGCCTTCACTGTGCTAGAGCAAGTCCTTCTCAGTAGCTTGTGAGTTTTGGAGATGCCATCCTGTTCTGACTTCAGTTTTGATTTATTTTTACCGCAGCCAGGTGGAGGATAACTTGGCGACCTTAAAAATAAAGAAGGAGAAGACAAAGTTGGAGAATAATCAAAATCTTGTGCAAATCAAGCAAGACCACACATATGTAAAAATTTGTATGTGTCACTGCTATTTACACACAAACTCATCGATCAAAAAGACGACTAACTACTTAAGTAGAAGTTAGAGCAATATCCTTACAGCTCTTTGTAAAGGTCTCTATGTCTCTAAACAAACCATTTATTCAGGAAATTATCTTTGAAATGAAAGCCACATATTTCACATGAGATTGTAACACATTTTCCTTATCAAAATCTATCTTCCCCGTGTAATCATCATGGCATGATCCCATTAAAGTTATTGTCTTCTGGACACAACATAACAAATTCTGCGTCCAGATCCAATTGAAGATATAATGAGCAGTGAAATTTGCAGGCAGTAAATAAAATTTAATTCAGCTGAAATTAACATTAGTTTTAAAAACCTCATAATAAACTGGGTGCTTTGTGGAAGAAAATTTGATGCCCTTCTTTCCTGTTTTAGACAAATTCTAGCTCTGTAACACTAGAAATGAGAATGTGAGGGACCTAAATTATGAATGCAGAAAGTAAAGAACAAAAGGATTTTACGAAAACAACATCCACATGAACTGTCACATTTCTCTAAGGTTCACATTCGCCTGTCCTTGCAAAGCAAGAACATGTAACAGGTATGCTGAATCATTTTTCTATGCTTTATAAGCAACCCCAATCTTTGGAGTATTTTTTGGGCTTGGATCGTGAAGTGAAACCCCAAGGGGAGAGGCTGGCAGGTTTCCCCACCCTGTTAGCAAGTGGTGACATTAGAGGATGCACATGGAGGTTGCTGACTCACTGTTGCAGTTGGCTCACTGTCACCCTCCTGCAGAAAGGAGGTAGGAATGGTGCTCTAGTGAGAGAGGGGGTCCCTGCATTTGGGCTAAGCCATCTTTGGACAGGCACTGCAGCAGCAGCCAAATCAAGAGCAGGAAGATTGGGCTGGCTTTTGTATGCTCTTTCTGAATAAAACCAAACCCCAAGCTACAGCTTGAGCTCGGCAATGGTGTGTGGCGTGGTGGGGAATGGGTAAGCTTTCTACTTAAAACACCACCTTCCTCTTCTACCTTTGAAAAGACAAATAATCTTTTGTCATCTTTGACATTCCTCCCTTCTTCAATGTGAGTGATCACTGTACTCCCTCTCCTTTTTATACACGGAATTTAGAATGGCAAAATTCATCAAAAAGAAGGAATGTTCAAAGAAGCATTCAATTCAAATTCACAGAAGGGGTGATCATAAGCAGGAAAACATGCTAGAGTTTTAAATAGTCACATTCCTGAAAGAGGTAAAATCAGAGCCTAATCTTACATACACTTAAGAGTGTGAATAACTGGCAGAAGTCATAATGAATTCAAATGAACTATTCACAGACTACTTCTTATGTTTTTAATGCCTGTGTTTGAAATTCTGTGCCCGCACCTCAGAAGTGGTGAACATTAATGTACTTAAACAGTGGAGAGGAGTAGGTGCTCAACAGCTCTAAAAATCAGTCTTTCATTAATGACCATTCTAGTTTTAAAAATTTAAAAACACACACAGCTGTGGAAAGAACAGCTAGACAACATTTTTAAAAAATATATGTTATATATATACTATATATATGTTATATATTACTTGTATATATTATTTATATTTATATTCTTGCTATTCAAGTTACAGTCAAATGCTACCAAGCTATACAACAAGTATACATATATACAAATACAACAAGTTAAATAATATAAAATTATTTTTTTCCAACTCTAGAGGAAATATGGCTGTTTCAGAGACCAGGGCACTGAAATGCTCTGCCTTCAAATAGCCTTAGAAGCTGCAGTAGTACCTAGTTCACTTTTGATGTCATGCAGGGCAAAGACTAGAAGCCCATGAGGCAAGATATAAATAGAGCACTTCTCTGTGGAGAAAAGTCAACATTTCACCTTGTGAAGACTGCTGTGGATTTTGAGCAGGATATGGTGTTAACAGCTCGTTTTCCTTGCTATTACCTGCGCAATGTAGAAAAGATGTGCAGAGGGGATTTCACCTTTTTGTCAGACATCTTCTTATTGTGCGTACAGTTAGATTTCTCTTTGCTGTTCTTCCACTGTTGTGTAACAAACGTCTGCATGATTCTGCAAATTAACAAAAAAAAGATTATTTTCTTATCCTAGCCAAGACATACTCACTTTAATACTAGGGTCTCTCTGTTCACCACGTAGGGAACATGAAGCAATGTCCTCACTCTACAGGCAGAGTTTTTTTGTCATGTATGTGGACTGATGATTGGATGCCTCAGCTCCTCAAAAACGCCTTTTTTTCCACATAAAACTAACTTACACAGAACTCTTATTGAGAATACAGTCTGTGTAAACAACCACTGCGAGACTTATGCAGGTACGCCTCTCATGGAGATCTGGAGACAAACTGATTCAGAGGCATGCCATCCAACTATAGGTGTCTGTCTCTCCAGTGACTACAGAAGTAGGCTACAGGATCCACACTGCACAAGTAAGAGCATATTCTCCTAAGGCACAAACATGAAGGTAGGGATGTCGAATATCATGCTACCCAAAGAGGGTTTACAGAGAAGACAGAGCCAGACACTTCCCAGAGACGGACAGCAAAAGGCAGTGGTCACAAGTTGTAGGAAGGAAAGCTAAAAAACATAAAGGCTATAAAAAGAAGATATCTACAAGAAAAGTGGTTAAGTACAACAGGTTGAGCACGAAGGCTGGAGATTTCACAGCTCAGTTGCCTGAGACTCTGAGTGAACTAATCTAACTTTGAAGTTAGTGTTACTTGGAGCAGGAGGTTGCATTAGGTGATCTCCAGCAGTTCCTTCCAAGCCAAACTACTCTGTGAGTCTAATCTAGCAGTGGGAGTCCTTGAGTGGAAGTTGGTATGGACTTCATCAAAAATTCAGTGAATCTTCAAAGATTCACAGCCATGAGGGGCCATAGGGTTCATGGGTATTCTGACTTCTGCTCAACTGTGAATTATGCAGCTATGTCCTTAAAAATGTCTTACGGGAACCTTTAGTAATTACCCAGTGCACAAATCAGAAACAGTGTAAGACAGACAGTGAAACATTTTAAGAGACTCTTTAAGAGGTCTGGGGAGCTTTTTATGTTTTTTCTTCAACGTCATGTACCATAGAGATTTCAGTAATATTGCTTCATTTGTAAGATTATGAAAAAGCTGCACTGAATTTCTTTAAACATCAAACAGCAAAAGATTTTTTTTCTTAAGGAATTCTTAATGTTGTAATGGTCAGATATTAAAGCCTATACGTTGTCATTTTATTACACATACACAAACGTGTGAAAAGATGACTCAGCAAACTTCTATTAAATTGAATTGTACCATGAACACATAAACTGCTAATTTTTTCAACTATTCTTCCCTCTTGTCCTCAAAACATGGATGGCCTAATTACTGTGGTACATCTTAGAGCCCACCATGAAAGCATAGCCCCCTTAGGGTATGCATGGTGCTCAAAAAGATTCCTGCTCCAGAGGCTTCACCATCTAAGCAAAACCATGAAATTGAACACTCCTAGCTACAGCATTTTGAACTTTTGTAGCTTACTTCCTAAATGGCAGCAAAGTGACAGAAAACCCTGCCAGGCAGCACAAATCAGGTTCTCCCCAACAACTGTCAAAACTGAACTTAGAAAGGCAAATCCTGTTATTTTTTATTTAAAGAAAAACAAGTTTAAAAGACTTTGATCCAAACAACCTGACAAGGTGTGAATTTTATCCTACTTGACATGGTCCAGGAACTAAAAAGAGTGTAATATTTGCCTAAAAACAGTTCACACTTTTCTAGACTTACTTTTTCAGCTGATGTCCCAGCCCAAATCTTTCCTTAGTGGAGATCTGAAATACATCCACAGTTGGCACTACGGAAAAAGGAGATATTGTTGATATATGAACTTAGACCAATAATCAAGAACTCATGACCATATAAGTCATATTTAAGGACCCTGTTCTGTCTGGACCTTTACTATAGACAATGCCATTGAAGCAATGGTGAAAATGGACATGTTATCTAAGCCCATTAAGAAACGAATGGTCTTTTTTGGAATATCAGCCAATATAATTTGTAATTTCACAGACGAGTATTTTAGAAATTGAATTCCCCCAAATGTTTCTCTTCCCACTAATTTTAATTACAAAAATGTGTCTTTTTTTTTATATTATGCAAGTACTAGAGAGCAGCATCAGATTAAACGTATCTGGACTCTATCTGGTAATTCATCTCACCTAATCTCTCAAACTTTTTTCCAAGTAAGTAGTCTTTACACAATACAGTTCCTGTGACTAGGAAAAAAACCCAGAATGGAATAAACTGAATTAATTAGTATCCGGGTTTTCTTTCTGAGGGCGTTTTAATACAAAATCCATAATCATCATCTAAGTGCCTGATATATGAATTGAAGTGGCCAAGGATTACCCTGAATTTTCCTCAAGACCCATCCTAACATTGGTATATCCATGTTCATATGTCAGAAAATTGAAAGTGTACAGGGTGAAAGCTGGAAATTAGCTCCTGGTATTACTAAAATCCTTTAATAAGATTTACTAGATAGAAGTGGCAGATGGAATCCAGCACTAGTTGAGAGAGCCTCAGGTCCTCAAGGCAGGACAACAGCCAACACATACTACAAGCATGCATAGATTTTATACTTCGCATTACATAAGGTGGTAATGACTACCGTAAAATAAAAAAGGAATGAAAACAAAAAATCTGGGGTTGGTTCAAATTTTATTAGAAAAAGTAAATCAGTATTTTAAAATCTGTATTATTCTGATCATTCAGACAGCGAGATTTTATTCAAAATGTCAACGTTTATCCTTTAATTTCACTTTCATAAATTAAAAATAAAATACAATATATCTAACCGGGCCATCAAATTTCACTTAATTCAAAGCCCTGTACATACTTTTTCTTTAATGTTATTATTCAAATATAACCTCATCTTTTAAAGACAAACTGATGATTTTTTCAAAAGGGATGAATGATTTGATTAGGGGTAGCAATGTCTTTAGATTGTCAAATTTAGGACACATGGTGGTGGGGGGAATATTTTCAATGAGAATCATCATACCTAGACCAGCAATCTTAAAATCTGACATGTAGACTACAATTGTTGTCTAAGCTCTACAGCCAGAGGAGACAGCCCGGTGCCTCCAAAGGCTGATTCATCCTCATCCTCATCTAACACAGGTTTCTAAGCCACGTGGGAGAAACTGCCTACAAGTACAATAATGAGACAAGCTATTAACTATAAGAATGACTACCAAAAATCAGGATATTACACAGCTACAAGGTGGTACGAATATCCCCCACAGTCCTTTTGAGTATACCGCACTTCTGTTTCTTTTATCAATCAGCAGAAAGTACTAGAGGAGAAAAAGATGTAGCATAAAGTTGTGGCCCAGTAGTCTCAAAACAACATATGTAAGGGGAAGAGGAATTCACATAAAAAGGGTCTTGTTAACACAGAAGATGGTGGATGTCACTGTCCTTTTCTGGTAAATAAAGAGACACGGCTGCAACAGCAGCTGAGCTCATAAAACCAGTATCAGCAAAGCACTTGCCTCTCACCCTGATCTTGCCTTTCTTAGTACTCAGGCACTTCCACAATCAGTCAGCTACAGGACTGGGAACTAAGCTTCCCGTTTTAACCTTGTCAAAGGTGCAGAAGATATTTTGTTGTTACTTCTCATTTCACTAGATCATTTCTTACTGCATGCTGCTTTTCTTGCTGCACTTTTTTATTTTTTAAATTACATTTTGATAGAAATATTCTGAATACCAACACTGCTACCCGCTATGGAAAATAACGATCTGCATATTTACAAAAAAGATTGAAGCAATAAAATACAGACAAAAAGACCAAAGTCAAGCAAAAAAAAAAAAGATTGACGTAACGAAATGCTTGTTTGAATGAACAGAATATAGCTTATAGTTAGCATCGGCAGGAACATACCCTATAAAAATAGCTCATTGGGACAGATTTTGCTAAACATATTATGACTGGAAATATCTATTCATTTTCCAGAGGCAGAATTCTCCCATGGATACAAGCCTGAACTGACAGCTTGCACTGGAAGCCTCCAAAGCCGGGCAACTTAGTTCTGACTTCCCACTGTAAAAATATATCTGAAGTTGACTCTTGCGTATGAATGTTTCCAAGTCTTCAAAATCAGTTGATTCTTCAGGAGTTTGACCATTTTTACTCTCATGAGGAAGCTTTACTCAACGAACAACTCATTCAAATCTAAAGATTCCCAGAGTTCACACAGTCATATAGAAATCAGAGGCTGAAAGGATCATTATCATGGCCTGATTCTCCAAAGGTGGATGAAAAAAGGCATATTAATGTGCTGCACAGGTCTGCATATGTATACCTTACCAGTGATACCTCATCTGTGCAAATGATCCCTGATTTCAAAATCAGGAAATCACGTATTAGAAACTGTAGATCTTTATTCCTTAATGCTAGTTCCAAAGGGAAGCAGTTGCATTTCAAAGAATATCAGGAAAACAAGTTCCAAAAATCAACCTATGAAAGTTTAAATTAGGCCATTATTGAGGGCCTAGCCATGCAAATATATGTTAGCATAATCTTAAATCAGCAGTAGCTCTACGCACATGCAGGATCAAAGATTTGGCAGTGAATGAGTATCTATCACCCAGTACATGGCTCAGACCGAGACACCATACAAGGCACATGAAGAATACACAGGTAACTAACCTGGACCATTTAAGTACTGTGTAAGTGAACAGTGCAATCGCACTATTATAGGCTCTGTGCGAATTACATCCCAAGCCACAGCAATCTCTTCCTAGTTCAAGATAAAAAGAAAACAACAGACACCATTAGCCGTGAGGAACTGCTGCATTTTGTCAGTCTCCCTGAGGTTGTTATAAACACCATCCATCCACTTACCCCATTGTGGAATATCTACTCCAACTTTAAACTCGAGACTTAGGACAAACTACTGCCCCTAAGATGCCCCTAAGAGCAGTGTTGGACTGCTTCCAGCTGCTGAGTATGCTCACTTAATCTGAGCACAGATTTATACACAGAACTGCATCTACAGTGCAGGCAGACACATTCCCATCTATGACGAGATACTGCTTCAAAGCTGAGAAGCAAAGGAGCAAATAAAGATGGAAAGGAAACTCATCCCGTAACACAGGGCAAAGGAAACTTTTGCTCCTTAAGACTGATTAAAATAATTCAATTTTCTTAAATTTTAGAAAAGCCCAAGAACAACTATCTTATGTGCTGTGCTGACCTGAGAATACGACGTATCTGTGCAAAAGCTAATGACGCCCCTAAAAGCTCTAATTTTTATTGTCTATCCAGAGGACAGGAAGTTATTGCACAGATGAGGTGAGGAAGATTGGAGTTAATGACAGCGTAACAGTTACAGAAGCCATGCTGCCAGTCGACAGCACCACTGTCCTGTGTCTCCTTTGCCACTCAAGCCTCTCCCTAATCAGCTGCAGATGTTGAGAAGCACACAGGAGAGCTCCAGCCACGGTTGTCTTCCCTCCAGGACTCTATGAAGTGCTTTCACCTAACTCATGTCTAGGATAGCAAAAAAATAAATGTACTTCATTTATACCAGTTAAAACATTTACCATTCACAAAGCATGTTTGAAAAGAAATATACATGCAGTAAATAAAAGCCTACAAAGCATTTTAACAATGTGATCATAAAAGGAAAAGGAAACCTTTCCACTGAGTAGCAATCAACAATGTGACAGCCACTTGTGAAGATCAAGTCTCTGAAAAAGGAAAGTCTCAGTGGTTGTCTAGAGAGTCTGATGTGTAGCAGAATTAAATGGGTATTAATGCTCATTATGTAATTCTGTGATTAGATTACTTACATCAAGAAAGCTAACATCAATATGCAGATCAATATCTACATCATCAATGGCTCCATATTCCCTGAAAGGAAAGAATTACATTACATTAGAGCTCTTTAGGATACTCCTCAGCCCAGGAGTACTTATAACAGGGAAGATTTTATAAAGGATAACCTTGTCTGTAAAATCAGAATGATTATAAAATACACATTTACATAGATTGGATCAATATTCCCAGTGGGTGACCGTCTGCTGCACTGAAACTTTCTTTCAGTGGATTTTGCTTAAACAGGCTAAATCTTTTTTTCTACTAATTCCCTCAAATTCTCTCTCCATTGCTGCTACTTTTGTCTCGCGTACTGCACAAATAAATCAAGAAAACAGTAACGGCCACATGCTGCTCCTATTTATGACAAAAGAAAACCCAAGTTACTTTTCAAAAGTATTTCAGGTTAACAGCCAGTAACCTAAGGAAAGACTTGAGATAGATCATTGAAGACAAATACAACATAGCCTAGAGGGTGGCATATTATACCTGTGGGATTGCTTCATACATTCAAGCATTTGTTTGTCAAAACATAAAGATTGCCCTGAAATGCGCCCAAGGCAATAGTTACCTTATTTTATCTGTTATGTGTAGTGTTGCTGGAATCCCCAAGGTTCAGATTTAACTTATGCTCATAGGTGTTTCATTGCCATCTGAAATCTTACATTTAAAGTGTGACTTTTCTGCCTCTTATTTTCTGACTCATTCTGATTGCCCTCCCCCAAAGTACTTGAAGACTTCTGAAAAATAGGACTAGAAAATACTCATTCACACACTGAAATAAAAAATTGCTTTCCTTTTCATTTATATTACTTACGTGGACAATACTGTAAAAGCACAATCACTCTCAATTTTTCACAGATTAGCTTCCAGTCACTAGGTTTTTTAATTTACACTGCATTTATATGCTTGTTGTCACAGTGACTTCCACGCTTTTCTATTAAACCAGACTACGACAGTGCACGGTAGCAGTTGTGCATAAATAAGTTGATACGGTAATTTTGAAATACAAAAATATTTTTGTGAATGTAACTATCTCCTACCAAAATGGCCTCTCAGCCTATGGTAGGACCTAGCTCACCCTGGAAACGCCTTGAACTCTTGTGAAGTTTGGTGGAGGGAACCCCTTCCACCAAACCTCGGCATGCCAGTGGTTCTCTCTGGTAAGGGCCAACTCAAAGTCTCTCTCTAGATCAGACGCATCCACACATGGCACACACAGGGCAGGTAAACGGCTGGAGAGGGCTGGGTTACCTGGAGGCTTCCCAGCCACCCTGACAGCTGCTCCAGAGCCCGCTCACCCAGAGCTACACGTACAGGCACTCGCTGACCCCTACAGCTCACTGAAGACCTGGCTTTGCAACAGTGAAATTCCCCACCTACGGAATGGCTTAGCCACTATCCTACATAACAGCGGCCTCAGATTTTTTTATTAATTTTCCAGAAGATCCAAAGAACAGATTGTTATGAACTCTTAAGTAATATTTATGAACACAGGCTGGTGTTACTCACATGACTGAGATTCAAAAGGCTGTGAACAAGCATAGTTTTATAAATTAAACGGAAACATAGTTGAACTAACGAAAAACACAGAAACATTAGCGGAAGAAAGGATAAGATAAAAATAGGCTATAACCGTGGAATTTCCATACTCACTGAAACTCCTTTGCCCTCACTCCATTACCATCCTAGAAAATGGATTTTAGACACATGATGCTGATTCTAGTTTTACTTCCCCAAGCTGAAAGGGGGGAAGAAATCATGTTTTCTTCCAGCATCTGCTGCCTACAATGGCTTCATGAACACATCTTGATTTTGAAGCTCTCAGACATCCTCTGTCCATCAGTGCTTAAGCAATGTAGGTAGATACTGGAGAGTTTGGATCAGTTGGTCCAGAGGTCTTTCTCACTGCTTTGGCGGCCGGATTTCAAAGGGCAGTGGTGAAAAGCATGCAGGTATAGGAATTTTACTTTTATATGTACAGTTGACTCTGTGACAGCAAGAGACTACTAAAAGAGGGTCAACTGTCTAGGAAATGTGCATCTTAGTGGGTGTCACTGTCAGACAGACTTCTCTCTCCACAGAGAAGTGGAGCTGCAGGAGAGGGATGAAACTGAATGCTTAATGCTGTGTTCATTTCCAAGAATTTATGAGTATTTTCAATAACAGAGTGGAAGAAGCATTGAAGTTTTCCACATGCCAAAAGCAGTCACAGATGCCAATTTCTACTTCAGTGAGCTCACGGAGATCACAATGCTTCCAATGAAACAGTTGATTCAATAAAATAGATGCACTAAAGTTTTTGAAAGGTTACATATAATGTTTCAATTTTAGGAGCTTGAGGGAGCCTATTATCAAGGCATTCTCCGTTTCATAGTTACCAGTTTGGCAACTAAACATCTATCTCATTTATTTCCTAACCCATATACAACTATTCGGATTTCAATTCCCCTCAAAATATAATGAAAATTCCACTTAATTTGAAAAGTACACCATAGTTGCAGACATACTCTCTCTTCTTAGACAAAAATAACAGAGCTTATTGTTTAGAGGTTAATGGGAATTGTTTCTTGCAATATATGTATGCCTAAGGTTATTATCTTCTCTGTATTTTATTACTTGGTTTGTATGACAACTTTGATATTTTCTTGTAATACATCTGACAGGTCTGTTACATCTTGTCTACCTGTTATTTTTATGAAATTATTAAGATTGCATAGATGGAAAATGAAGTTATAAGAAATCTGAAGTGTATTAAAAATATCATACAGCTATGCCCTATGGCAGAATCATGCACACATACATATGCCCAACAGACTTTTTGTGTAATTATGCTTTGCAATCCATCCCTGACTGAGGTTCCACGACTTCCCTGTGTAGGATACCTTAGATTCCCACAATTAAAAAGCTTTCCTAAAATCTAATCAAATTCTTATTTGTTGCTAACACAGCTAGTTTCTTATTGTCTCTCTCATGATGACAACAGAGAACATTTGATCACTCCTCCTACCTACAAACAGCTTTTCTGAAGAAGAACAACTGTTGTTTTATCTTCTCCTTCTCTTTTTTCCAGACTAGACAAATCCATTTCAATCCTTCCCTAGGGAAAACATTTACTAAATCTTTTATCATTCCTCTTGTCACCTCCAGGGCAAAAGACAGAATACAACAGAAAAGGAGTTTAACAAGGGTTTAGAGTAATGCTGAATAGTAATTTTCAACAAAACACAACAGCCTGATCAAATACCGACTGAACTGCCAAAGACAATGTTTTAGAACAGGCTTCTAGGGTTTGTTCTCACCACAGCCAGCTGTATCAGTACCCAACCACAAAAAAAAGAAAAAATAAAACCAGCATTATTGCTAGCCAGCAGTGCTCCTTCCTTTTACCACACAATTGGCAGAAATCACCAAAAGAGACTTATGCTTTGGCAGTGAGGGAAGATCCACATGGAACTCAATCTCCAAAACATTAAATGTTCCACAATACAGAAAAGTTAATGACATACCTGAGAGATACTGCATTAGGTCCATAGATCTCTCTCACTGCTGTCAAATCAGCCTCCAGCTGCGGGTGCTTGTGAAGTTCTCCATCATAGCTAACCTACCGGGAAAAAAAAAAGCCTAAGAGTTTTTATTTATTTCGTTACTGGCACTTGACCTAGGTTCTTGAAAGTTCCCCCTGCAAAATATGCTGCATAAAGATTCCTTAATGCCACGTCGGAAAGGACACTGTGTTGATAAGCTGAAGCACTGAGGTGGTCTAGCTCTGCTAAGCAATGAGATTTGCAAAGCAGGCACCTCTGCATAGACATTTTTTGAGGGTCCTACTCCTTGTGGGAAGAGAAGCGGCAAAGGACTCATCCCTCTGTCCTATCTTGTCCTGGGGTTTGTTCTGGGACACTTGTGTGTTTTAAAACTGTTAAGTAGGAGAAGAACCAGATCTCCACAGTCATATCATCCCAGTCCAACCACTACAGGACAAAGGTTTGCTCCCTCTTGTTTTTTGTCACACTCTCATATATATTAGACAGAGAATGGCTTGGACTCAACAAGAGAAGCATGAAACTATTCTATATACCAAGTGTCTCAGCATCTAAATTACATTTTCTACCCATTGGCTGTATTCTATCCACCAGTGCAATGATATCAGATTAAAAAAAAAAATTAAAGAACACTTCCCCATTTTAAGTATTTTACCAGAGAAGGTGTAAAGAACCATGTATTTAGACATTATCCCCTTTTTTTTCCAACGCTACATGAAAAATGGAAACAGTTATGTTAGTGCTTACACTACAAAGAAAAACTTGTGAGCTGGTTTGGGTGACCTGTATGAAGTCAAAATAATTAACATCCTCCTATCTTCTACAAGGACCAAAATACCTCTTTAGTCTTGTAACAATCTGTTCACAGTTTATTACTACTTTCTTGTTAAGCAATATGCTCCTGATTGTGTGAACCTAATTCTACTTCTTTACAACAATTAGAATGATAATAATTCCACAAAAGTCGATGAACTCGATTTGGACAGATTCAGAAATAAGAGTAGGATTTGGCTTGTACCTTTGACAAATTCAGGGAGCAAAGCACAAGAGTGTAATTTATCTCTTTAGACATATATATATCTTTATACAGGAATTCCTGCAGAGAATTCTTGCTATTGCAGAACCATATCTAACTGCATAATGTTTCTTCCATTTGTACATCCAAATCTGTAGAAGACCAGTCCTGTGATACTTTCAACTCTGATATCTGGAGATGTACGTTACAATCTAATTAAATAAGTTTCAATAGAATTAAAATAATAATCAGCTGAACATTTTTTGTATGTGAAAATTAGCAAAGAGTAATTTGATTAGGCTTAGAATTCTTCAAATATAAGGCACAGAACTCACCAGCATAGCACGGGCATGTGTTTACCAGAAATATCAAAGATATTCATGACCAGAAGCCAAGTACCGCTCCCTTGTTTAGGCAGGCATGTCAGAACAATTTTCCAAGTAGAAGAGCATGGGAAGAAAACCTTTATTATTTTTTTTTTCGCTTTAGGTAGGAGAAAACCAATCCTTTTTACATGCTCATTACTCAAAGATGAATTCTTTAAAGATGCATAAATAATTGCTGTCCTGCTTCCAAAGAGAGCACAGCAATCATTTCACAAATCGTAGCTGTGGTGCACCTGCCACCTTTGTTGGTCCTAAACCACATTTTTTTAATCAGTCTTATGTATCAATAATAGTAAAATCCAAAAGCAGTGCTATGCAGAACACTGAACTGCTTAACATAATGCTTTCTCCAATCTACTTTCTGATGGTAAGAGGTTATGAACTCAAAAAAGAAACAAAGCAGTGTTCTGGCAAATTATAAGACCACAGTATGGTATTTTCCACCCCTGAATTAGTGCCACAGACATGCCGATATACGCAGAGGAGACTGCCAGAGTTTTGTATATCTGCATTTGCAAGTATGTCCTGTAACTGAAGCACGACAGACAGGGAGAGAGAGTGCCAGAGGCAGTAGTATTACTGTTTCAATCTCCTGTTCTCGTTTGCAAATGTAGAACATAGAGATTCAAAGCAAGAATTAACAGAGGATCTCAGAGAAAGTGAATATAAAAGCTAAAAAATCTGATAACTTTGCTGTGTCCAAAAGGTCTGTATTTAGAAAGCCTCAGTTTTTAATCTGAGACCTGATTCAGATTATTTTGTCCCACATAATGACAAAAGGTTGCATTTTTAAAGGAGATTAAGTGATTTACGAACCTAAATCCCATTGAAAATCAATAGGACTTAGGCTATTGAATCACTTAGCTACTTTAAAGTATTTATCCATTAAATCCTTAGGGAGGATTACAAGGTGCCTAGGAAGCAGATACAAACATTTAATTTATGACCAAAAGGTTGTATCTTGTTTTCACTGCCCATCAAATGCCATTTCCCACCTTCCATGGTCCTTGTTTCATCACCAGCTGCTCTCTTGTCTTTCCAGCTGTAACCACTTAGAAATGTTAAGAACTATCCCTGATCTCCACCTTTCCCAACTGTATTGCACACAATTATACTGGCATCTATTCCCTTTAGTTGATAAAGTCAGTATTTTTGTCCCCGTTCTCTGTAGGCACAGCACACACTTGTCTCAAATGAAGCAGCTTGCCTTGCTTGTTCGCCACATGTACAGTCAACTGCTTTGTCTTCCCAATACACCTGGTGCTCACTTAATAACTCTTACAATCACTTTATTTGAAAAAGGACTGTTCTTTTTATCTCTCGACAGACTTTGCTCATTACCTGATTTCCTATTTATTTTCTGAGTCCTCAATATTTTCTTTAATTCTACAGGTCTTCTTTAGGATTTTGTGTTTTCAACCATGAAATTTTAAATTCAAAATTTCCTTTTTTCTCTCTTGTTAAATATATTTTCTATGATGTCTTTTTTTGTTTGTTTGTTCTCCTTATTTTGCTTTTTGAATATTCTATACTCAAAGACATTCACAATCATCTGATATTTTTATTGCTGATTTAATTGTATTTTTTTTGCCAGTTATAATTCCTTCAATTAAATTTATTACCTTAAAAAAATGACAATGCAATATAATGTAGTTTCCACTTCAAATTGAAGGCAACTAAATTCTAACTAGTATTGCCTATTATACAGTTCTTTTACACCCTGCAAAATGATGTACTGCTCATAGGCAGCGTTAGTATTTATTCATTCATTTGGGCACTGGCAGGCATCCTTTACCAAAGGTATTAGCGCTTGTTCAAGAAATAAGCACTCCCAGCTGCTTGCTGCCTTTTCCTTCACCTTGAGATTACCGTCCTTTCTGCAGAGTTGAAAAATGGAGCCAGTACAGACAACTCATCACTACAGGACAAAATCAGAAGATTTTTCCTCTCAAGCAGATTAAAATAAGACATCGCTCTTTGCACCGAAGTATGTGTACACGGTCCTCCCCAGCGCTCTGTGGGGCTGTAGGAGTCGGCAGCTGAAGGGAGGCAATTCCTGCAGTCATTTCTGAAGTGAACATGAGTCAACACCCCATGTCAGTTATTCCTGACAATGAAAATACATTCTTTCAGTTCCAGTTTCAGTATCACTTTTAATAGCTTTTTAGGGGCGTGCTTTTTTTTTTAGAGTAAAGCACCTCAACATGCATTTTGTGTTCAAACCCCACCACGCTGTTGGCTCTGCAAGATAAGAGGCTTGGCGATGTCCTGCTCATCAGCATCCCACGCCCTCTGCACCGACCCCACCGGCTGGCACTGCTGGCGCGCTCCGCAGCCTCAGCTCTGCGCACCCAGGGCACGGATGGCTTCAGCCTCAAGACTGAGGCAGTGACAACTTTCATAAACAGCGACCGTAATTCATTAAAATGTTCATCGAAATAAACAGTTCTAGCAACATAAGTGAGGAATGATTCCTTTGGGGCAATAGTTGGACTAAAAAGATAAGAAAAATCTAAATAAAGAGACTAGCAGCATGAAACGCTCTATTGACATTGCAAAAGAAAAAGAGATGAAGAGATTTTATTTCCCAATACATAAGAGAATGTAATAATAACTAATTCTGCTGAGGGAACAAGAAGGTAAGACACAGAGCAGTACATTCATCTAAAAATATGCAGAATTTTTCAAGGTGAATTTAACTGTAGAGCTCAGAAAAAGAACAGTCTATTGCCTAGATCAAAACTGTTTTGTAATAACCATTTTTACCATTAAATTGCAGTGCTCTTGACTTTACAAAATGGCAGTCCTCCAGAAGGAAACAGATTTGGATCCAGACTGACTTCCCATTTGTATCAATAATGGGATAACCTTTAGAGAGCGAATATCTATTTCCTGGAAGTAAGCAACTGGCTTCTATTTTCAAATGTTCTGAAGAGTCCTTGCTTTTACTATACTTACAGCTTTGCAAATGTAAACAAACTAATCTTATTTTAAATCTGATATAATTATACAGTATAACACATTCAATATTTCTGCTATAAAATACTATGTATATTAGGACGAGAGGAAATGGCCTCAAGTTGCGCCAAGGGAGGTTTAGACTGGACATTAGGAAAAACTTCTTTACTGAAAGAGTGGTCAGGCCTTGGAACAGGCTGCCCAGGGAAGTGGTGGAGTCGCCATCCCTGGAAGTATTTAAAAGACGTGTAGATGAGGCGCTTAGGGACATGGTTTAGTGGGCACGGTGGTGTTGGGTTAACGGTTGGACTTGATGATCTTAGAGGTCTTTTCCAACCTTAATGATTCTATGATTCTATGATTCTATGATTCTATACACATGGCATTCTATTTGATGTTGAATAAACATAAGAAATTAATTATTATCATAAATTTATAATGGAATGAACAACAGAAGCTTTCAAATATTAATTTCTTGAAACTTGTGCAAAAATTTCCTCCATTACCTGTCCTCCATAATAAAATTCCTCAGAATCATTATCTCCTTCAGAGTCCTCTTCAACTGTGCTGTTGTGACGTGACTCCTTAATGGAAAAGGAAAGTTAACAATGATACAAGCGATATGCTTATCTTGCATTTATAGTTCTAATTATAACTACAGGAACTATGTTTTTACAAATAGCTCACAGCACGCTTTATTAGGAGATCTTTTAGTATCTTTTTTCCAGAAGAGTACTAAGGGCCTGTTCTAAGAATAGTGAAATATCAGATAAAACAAGCACCTACCAACTCAATACATAAAACCACCCTTAATATATGTTGGAGAAATAATACTTTTGTCTGGCTACAGACACAGTGTGGCATTTTAAGGAACTGGGGAATTCAGTAGACTACGCGGGGATGCTTCACTCTGTGCTTTTGCTAAACAAAGCATAATTTACCCACCAAGACAGGTTCTGGACTTAATTCATTTGGTGTTTCAGTGACCTAATAAAATTTTAATTTACTGTATTCTGGTGAATCAATTCTAACAGTTTAAGGAAATAATTCAAGTCCGAGCACGGGATCTCTTAATTTCCTTTCTGTGAAAAACTGACACATTGCTGCTTAATTATTATTTTTAACAGAAGTACCAGCCTGTTGCCAGAAAAGTTCAAACTTAATTTTCTGACTAGCTCTGCTGTGAGACTTTGAAAATTAAGGATTAGAAAGTAATATGCTTACCCAAGTAAAACCTGCTCTAAATAGGCTGCTCTGTGAATAATTGCACTCAAGTAAATAGAACTAATCCCAGTACAGACTGCAACTCAGCATGAGCTGAAGTGTTATATTCTGCTTCCCACCAATGGAACCTTTACTTATAATTATGTAATTGCTTGCAGATATTAATTCTTGTTTCTCACAATCCATGTGTTATTTCTAGGCCCTATGCTGACAAGGATCCCCTAAAAAACACCGGTTAAAATCATAATTCACTTCAACCTGAACATGATGTACTTACTGCTTATTTTGTATTTATGTCCTGCACAGAACTGCCATAACGGAAGAGAAATCAGATGTATGACTCAAAGAATAGAAGTTATCCCTAAATCCCATATATTCGTAAATGTCAAATATACCCTTATCTCCAATTTCTATGGTCGGACATTCTAATCCCATTTTCCTACCTTTGTCTCTAAATTCCTGCTCTATTCACTGTACGTATACATAGAACAAAAATTGCATTTCAGCCAATTTCACGGCACAAGGCATAAAAATAATTTCTGCTTCTACCTCACTGAAAAGAAACAAAGTGACTTTAGTCATCTTTGTTTCATAACAGCCTTAGCTTGAGGGGAAGTCTGTGTTAAAACAGGACTCAATTGAACAAAAATTCAACACAAACCAAAGAGAAATGAAATTCTCACGTTAGAATAGTGACAAACCCATCCTATCCTAACCAAACCTCTAACTGTCTAGCCAACAGAAATGGTCAGTGTTAGAGACTTTTTTTTAAAGGGTTTTTTTTCGGTACTTTCATGTTTAAGTACCTCGTTCAACTAAAAACAAAATAAAACCTCAAACTCTGTCCCACAGAAGCTAACTATATCTCAAGCTTTTAATCAAATGGGTAAATTCTTTCTGCACTTGAATTTTTCTAATGTTTACCGAGCACTGAATACAAAGATGAAGCAGTAGAAGCAAAGTATTTCCAGTGCAGATTTTTACATCAAATCAGGTTTCATCTACTAAAAAAACCAACCATACACATTAGCGTATCTGGGCATGCTTACCTCCCCTTTCCAGGATCAAATACAGATTGGAGCCTAAAAAGCAGTCGCCCAGAAACTCAGCAACCACCCTTACCAGAGGAAGTCTTTAAGTCAAGCACCTGAATTCTTGACGCAATGCTCAATTTCTTGCTTGGGGTAGGAACCTATGTGGTACTTTCTTTGAGCCCGTAACACTGTTAAGCCCTGTAGACTTCATGTTAGTGCCACTTCTTTCTTGAGTTAATGTCTTAGTGCGACTGGCCAGGGACCCATGCCAGAGGTACAACACAAATAGAGCGTGACTGGAAGGCCTCAATGCTCCAGACACTACTCATGGTGAACAGACTCAGGCAGAGGTCTAGAGCCTCCAGTGAGGCTGCTGTAGGCCACACGAAGCAGCAGTGAGCCAATAAATGGGATGTGGTCCTATGTGCAAGAGTAGGTTAAAAGGTAATGGCATCATGATCTCCTTCTCCAGGGGAGCTGTATTTTTAGGGCAGACAGGGTCTATACCACTGTTGAACAAAAAATGAAATAAACATCAAAACCATATTTCCTAGGATGGGAGCATCCCTATCCCAACTAAGTGACTCACTGGTTAATCCATGAAATCCAGAGAACTACACTGATCTTCTAAAACATGTAAACGGGTAGTTTGCGTAAGCACACATTTGATAGGAAATCTATGGTAAACATTTCATATTTTATGATTTTCTACTGTTTCTTAAAATAACTTCTGTTAAAATATGCATACAAGAAATACATACCTCTCCATTCTCCCTCTGTAATTTTGATTTTATGGATAAGCAATAGTTGACATCACTGGTTTTTCTTAATTCTTAAAAGAAAAGGGAAAATAGGTAACATCTGTGAAAAATGTGAAATAATTTTGCCTATCCAGACTTTAAATATTTAGTTGCAGTAGTAGAGCAAATAAGGAACAAAAAGTTACAGATATGAAAAGCATTAAAGAGTTTACAACACAACAATCTAAAATTAAGAAGCCCCTATGTCTCAGAAGACTCATATTTTTAACTGTGAAATGGTCCATCTGGGAGATTTGTTTTTCCCAATCTGTCATTTACAATTTAGTGTCATTCATTAATTTTGTATACTTTATAAAAGACTGAAAAATCAAAACCCCTGAGCAAAATTAAATCAGATCATTTTCTATACAAAACATAGGTTTTTATTCTATCTTAAATGACAGGTTTTATTTCTTTTTAATTTACAGAAATATTTGCAAGTAAAATTTATTTTAAACTTCTGACTATAATGGCCAGTTTCTGTTTGGGTGCCACTGCACCAACTTCAGTAAAATTATTCTTGATTTACATCAGTATAAATGAGATCAGAGACTGAGGATCATATTGGTTGTCCAGTGGAATTCAAAGTAATTCTGTGTTACACAAAAAAGCCCTGAAGCACTGTAATAATAATAAAAAGACTGCAAAGTCAAGTGTTCCTATCTGAAGAACTGCCAGAATTAAGACTGCCCTATGCAGTTTCTCCTGCAGCCTGAAATCATCAGGGAATTTGGCTGCTAAAATCTAAAAAGTCTCTATGGAATATGCACAAATCTTGATTATATATTGTTTAAATATGCCTATATGTCTGAAAAGCATACCCTTTCACGTATCAAATACTTTTTAAAAGTATGGAAACAATTTCAAATGAGAGGTTCCCAAAATCACTGGGAATTTTTTTTTTTTCTATAGTCTAATCTAGTGAAACAGCTGAACCATTTTGGTTGAAATTTCCTGAAATAATTCACTAGAGGCAACTGTAGTTATAGATTGTTTAATCCCCAATGGTGAAGATTTAGTGAAGTTTTAAGCAAGTGAACGTGAAAACTTATAATTGGGAAGTATTAAGCACCCCTAACTGTATTCAAGGAGAATTGCTTTCACACAGACTGCAAGAAATTGAAAGAGTAAAAAACATTCTGCCTATGCAATCGTGGTGATGCCCAAAAGAAATATTTTAATTTCTTCTATTCAGAAATGTAGGACAATACACTACAGCAAGACTGTGAGAAAACAGCAAACTGTATAGCTGCACACATTAACATATCTCCCTTTAACTGCAGGCAACATCTTGTCTTTCCTCACAAAATACGAACTTGATAAAGCACTCGGGACGTAAGATTACCTGTAGCGATTTGGTGGAAGATTACTGGAATTGGCTCTGTTGTAACTAACACATCTTCATCATTATCAGAGCTGGAAACATAAGTGTTATCTACGAAAGAAAAACACCTTGCATGGTGAAGTCCACTTGTGCTCTGCCAGCCCCCGCCACGTTGTCCGTCCCACCCTTGTACCACAAGGAAGCACTCCCCAGATGGTTAGGGAAGCTGAGCCCTATCATCTTCCTGGTGTGTTTTTTTCTCTTGAGATCGCTAATGAAAAGAAAAATACCAAAAGGATGGAAGATTCAGACCCGAATTTTATACAAGCAAACCCCTGGAGTCTGATGTCATGGCTTTTGTGAATCACACCAAGTGCTGCTCTGAACTGTCCCACAAGGTTTATGGGGGTTTGAGCCAACCTTTTCCAAAATGAAGACTTGTTCTACGCTTTTTGCTATGCCTGACACTAAAACTCAAGCTAGATCTGCTATGCAGAGTGGAGGCTGCATTCAGAGCTGGATGTTAACAGCCCATTATGCAAAATAACTTTGCCTCATTTTGCCTTGTCACATAAAGGTTGTTTGAAGTATCTTCTAATCAGTGGATAACCTTTCTTGTGCCTGATTAAGGAAAAAAAAAATTCTCCCACTCAACAAAAATGTTAGGTATGGATATGAATATGGAAAGTCTATCTCAAATTTTCTTACAAAATATAAGGATTAGGCTGAGGAGTGTGCGTGTTGTTTTTTTGGTTTGGTTTCTTTTTTTTCTTTTCCAAACAAACGTTTAGTAACAACAAATAAGGAGCAGCAAGTTTTTACTTAGTATCTGCAGAAGCTAATTTTGCATGAATTGCTGAACTGCCCATGAAAGTAATAATATTTTGTTTTCTACTGATCTGGGCTGAATTGAAACTTATGCTCTAGAGCAGAAAGGCTGACAATTAAGATAATCACAGATGAAGAGACAAATAAGAGAACTGAAACAAGGACTTGATCTATCATAATTCCGAACACTCCGGTCCCACATCAGCGAAGTACGTGAACTCACATGTAATTTTAAGCATACTGCTGCAATCTCAAAGCCTGTGACCACAGTGCTTCCAGTGAAATGTTAAAGATGTTAACATCAATTGAGCAGTAAATTCAGTAATATTATCCTTCGTATTACAGAGGTTCTTAGCAGGCTGTATCAAGACGAAGCCCCAGCGCTGCCGCCCCTTTCTCGCACAGGTGTGCCACGCTGCCTTTGCAGAGTAGCAGCTGCGCTGCCGCACGCGGACAGGCGCGTGGGGCTTTCCCAGCCCGCCGCCTGTGAAACAGCCTTTCTGCCACATTCACACACATCTACCGAGTCTGACACTATCCCACGCCTTCGCCTACTTCCAGTCCTGCGCTGTCCCATGAGGTAATCTGTGTGTTCTGCGCTCAGCTCAACATACATATATTGCGAGCAGGCAGTTGCTCCAGGAGGCTGACACTACTCTTCCCTGAGCTCTGAGCTCCAGTGGGCACAGCAACCTGCTCCACCAGCTCAGTCTGTGTCTGCTCGGCTACATGCTTGGCACAGGGATGTGTTTTAGAGCCACAGCATCGTGCGAATAAAATGGGGTTCCTCCAGCCATCTGCCAGCATTCACTCTTTCTCCCACTTTTGTCTATCAGCAGGACAGGCTGTGAACTATGCCTCCAGGACAGCTGCACCTCACCCTCTCCAGGAACCCCTGCCTTCCCTCTATTTGCACGCTCCACCTTGCTGTCATCATTTCAGTGTCAGCCTCACCATGCTGAATGGCTCTGGGCATGTACAACACAGACCCATTCCTTTCCCGCGTTTGGGAGTGTAACTTACTGCTATAGAGTCTAATAAGCTGGAATAACAGAGGCCACCACTTGGCTCTAAATATACCTAACACCATATATATGGATGGGAGAAATCCTTGTGCTAGAACTGATTGCTGTATGGAAAAGCAGAAAAAACAACAATATGTGCTGTACAGAATAGACAATTACCAAGATATACATATATGGAAAAAAGGACTGCTCAATTACAGTTTTATGCTCATTGTCATTCTTTCCTGGCAGCTGGATAATATGATTTTCACTGCCAAGTTTTTGTTTTCCTTTTCCATTTGGCAGCCATTAGGGTTTTTTTCTTTCCTTCCATCAGTCTAATGAAACTTGAAATTAAGATACTGGTTTTGGTTTGCTTTCTTCAACATCCAGTTTCTAACACACTACACCCAGGAACACCTCTCCTCTTAAGCAGAGGACCTAGCGCCTGGACCTAGTGGAGGGATGCAGCAAACCACTCGCTGCCAAACTGGTTCTCTCCATCTCTGCTGCAATTTAACGAGGTCTATGAAAAGGATGTTCTGTTAACACGCGTGTAACCCACAAATCACTGGGATAAAGGACTACAGCAGTTCTATAAGTTTATGGCAGCCAACACGTATCACCCTGAAAATATATTCATTAGCAAAATGCTTGCTGCTGTAATGGTTCTCACAGGAGTCATGATCCACTCATATTAATGGGACTTTAGTCTACTCATTGATGTTATGTTCTATAACTGCTCCTTAGGAGCATTATTTTTCCCCAGTTGTGTCAATGTTATCAGAAAAGAGATGTTTTGCTGGAACTGTTACTACCTGCCTCTGAAATTTTCAGAAATATTTTCACAATTTCAGCGATGTATATATAACTTTGAGACGTTACTGTCTCAACACTATTCTTATCAAGTTCTTCAGTGTGCATTTGTGAGAATATTTTTAGCTTTCATTCATAATTATGAAATTTTCAAGCACCTTCCATTATTGAAAGTTGTCATGTCATATTACGGTTCCCACAGGTATGATTTAATGCTCAGCTGTTTGTAATCTTTTGATGCTTTATGAAGGAATTCAGCAATAGCTACAGACTGTTATCAGTCCCAAAGCAGTGATGCTGCATACATAACAGCAGTGCAGGGAGCTAGAGTATATCCAGTATCCAAAGCTCTTTTTACAGTACCTGAAATTTACTTGTGGTGGTATTACTTTTGGCTGAATGAACATAATTTGTATAGTAACTTAATCTCTTCTATTTTCATATATTTATTGCATGCGTTAGCAATTTATCTGATGATCAAGTCTGACAGCCTTCTGTCAGATTTCCAAATTTGATGCACTGTGTATTACACACTCTTAATCTCCAGAAGATACAACTTTGATACAGCTAGGCACTAATGGACTTAAACCTTGATCTGTGAAGATTTATCCCATGAGAAATTTAATTTGATAAGCATGTGTTGCTGTGAACTCTATCAACTAGCAGCAATACTTGAAGATCATCTTCTAGTTGAGGAGGACATCAGCACAGAGCTTCCCAGACTTGAAGTCCCTGAAATATCCCTTAAAATACATGCCAGAGAAGAGAGCCACAGTCAGCAGTAATGTTAAGTTAGAGATTTAGGACAAAGAGAGGAGACAAAGAATCCGGCTCTCCAAGTCAAAATGAGTATTTTTAGGATCAAAGCTGTAAAATGGCAGAGTCATTATCATTCCTAACACACTAAACACCTCTTCATCACAAAGCAAACATAGATCCTGCAAAAGCTTGAGATATGAATGAAATCAGCTCTTCCAAAGCCTTGATTGGGAAATATGTGCAGCTGGTTTACGCCCCCCTCACCAAGTTAGCTACAGTGTAAAATGTTCAAATTCTATCTGGCTTTAAAATACAGGGCGTGATGGCAGAGAATATTCATTAGGTTTTAGAGCCACCAAAGTCACTCAGGCTTGTAGGCCATCAGGACATGGTGCAAATAGCATCCATAAGGGAAGTTTGAGGTCTGTCAGGCAGAATTTTGCCGGGAGGTGAGATCTCACGTGGTGTGGGAGTAACTGCTGGTTCAGTGCTCCAGCTTGCCATTTGTTAGGGGTTCCCAGAGATCAAGTTTTGTGCCTTCATAATAGCTTAATCCCTGAAATGAATAAATCCATTACTGACGTTTAATAAAACAAACTGTTAATAACATATGACGCAGATTTTTTTCAACTATTTGTCCCTCCATTCACTGTAAGATCAATGTTGTAATCAATAAATCAATTTATCGCTGGTATGACTGTGTATTTTATGAATTTCAGTTTCTCCCCTTACTACATGTTGAATAGATTATTGTTAGTAGCAGTTTTCCCTCCAGTTTTTACTGGTAAAAAAAAAAATCTCTCATAAAGGCTGTTAGCATCCTCTCAAATAATCCATTGTATTTAGCATCACTGCTGATGCTGATTTCTCTCTGTATCTGCTTCAATCACTCTGGTGTTTGGAACAGACATAGTCTACTGCTTATCAGTGAAGAAGATCAAAGCCTCTCCTCTTTAGAGATTCTAAAAGAAACAAGAAATATTTCTTTTAGAAATATTAGAGAGATGTTACGGATAAAGATGAAAAAAGGCCAGAGGGTTTCATATCATTCATGGTACTTACACTGTTAAATACTCCCACGTGCAAAATACATAATGTGGTGCAATCCAACAGTATTACCATGTACCTTTACTTGCACAGCACCTGTCTGCCCTCATACCCACTTCCCTCTCCTGTTTCTGCTAACCTCTATGCCACCTGAAGTATCTGTGCAATCTCTTTGTGAAGGAAATCAGAGAAATAAGCTAGCTGAAAACTAGCTTGTGCTCTTGCCTGGTTGTCTTTTGTATGAATAATTCCCCTTGCCTAGACTGGCCGCATGGTTACACAAATGCTTTTGCCAACCAAGCTCGGAGTATGAAGGGGAGGCAGGACTGAGCAGCTGGGAATGGCTTTGCAAGCTTACGTTACCAAAGACATACCCATACACAAACCCTTGGCTCCAACTGACCCTGAGAAGCATCAATGCATAGTCCACAGGCTTAACTTGAAGAACGTGAGTAGTCTCATTAAGGTCTAACGCAGAAGTGCTTTGCTGGTCCTGCACCAGACTGCTCAGCCTCTTGAAAGATCAAGCTTTATCTACCATGCCAAAGAGGAGTCGGGTGCTTTCTCACTCCTATCACTGTTGGCTCCAGACACGGAAAGCATCACAAGCTCCGGTCTCTGTAAACTTGTGAACCAGGTTTTCTCACCCTGACCCAGCTGATAAATGTTGCCTGAAAAGGAGAAATGACTGTGAAAATAATATCACTAATGGAAAATTATTAGCACAAGGATGCACCTGGAAGACATCAACACCCTTTCAGATACTCTCATCTGAATATAGCGAATTGAGGTAACATGCATACGTGTGTCATGGACAAGAGCGTTGCACTGTACCTGGGTAATCCTCAGAGACATGCACTGAATAAGATACACTGTAAAAAGAAAAAAAAAAGAAACAACAGAATTAATAACAACAACATTAACTGCTGGCACAACATTTTTTTCTTGCTCCTGTATTATTTTATGTTTATTTATAAGTTCCTGACAGTTTCCAGGACAGAAGGTAACAGCTATTTTGATGGCTTTTGAAATGCTCAGCTAAAAAAAAAAAAGCGTCATGCCCATTTAGAAAGCTTACTTTGCTAAATTGGCACATCCCAACTTCAACCTTCTTAAAAAGAATATAAAGAATGCATTATATTCACTTTAGAGTAACATTTCACAATATCTGTACTTAAAAAAAAAAGTTGCTCTTTGAACACCAGAACTAGAAAAGCCCAGTTTTCCCTCCATCTGGTTTCTGGGGTTGACTCAAGACTCACTAGGAAGCCTTTCTCGCTGGCTGGGGCACTTCTGTACAATCCTGTTAGTCTCAGCAAAGGCTCTGGATGGCTTGGGCTCCTTCCTCTCATCAAACCCCCGTATTTATAACAGTTGTGGCAATTTTATTTGATACCTGGACCTCTTTGTCAAGCTGAGTTCAAATCAAATTTGAAAGAGCCATGGTCACACTAAAGGGTAGCTTCACTTCCAGTAGCATCCAGCTACTGGATTACCTGAATCTGTTTCATCAGAAAACAGTCATACAAACACACCATCCTGGTCCTCCAGCTCAGCCCACATATGCTTTCCTTACCACCCAGCGAGATCTTCACTAAATTGACTGCTGGGGGCAGGACAAATGGCATGACGGTCTGCTCAGTTAACTAACTACCCACCAAGACCTTCTGATATTTTTTGATGTTAATGTGCACCTTGCATTAAAAACATTCAACTCCACAGCATGTTGAAAGCTTTCTGTTGTATAATTCATGTTCTTTCTACTTCTAAATCCTATAAATTGTATGTGTCAACTTACACATTTAAATAATACATGGCGTGTGTTCATGTCTGTAGTGAGTTAAGCAGACAGACAAAGGCAGGATGGCAATAAATAAATTGTCCTCAATAAATTTTGGTATGTATTGTACACTGCTGAAAATTGATTCAGTGGATCTTTCTAAACTACATGAATACAACTTCCATGGAGACTGTAAAATAAAACCATGTATGATTTTTTTCTTTTTCTCTCTCAAGGACTTCTATTAAATGAGCTCCACTTTCACAATCCAAGGACTGTAGGAGGCAATCAATACTACAAAGTAGGTCCCTCACACTTTCTTCCATAAGTCAATGTATTACCACACAGCTCTGTCACCTGTTTTTGCACATCATCTATTCAAGCATAATTCATTTTATGTATTGTTTGACTAAGAGGCAAAGATGCCTTTCTTCAGCAGCTGTAAATGTTCACATAAATTGAAACAGAAAGAGTGTAAATTGAAACAGAAAGAGTTTTTATTACATCTGACAACAGATTTAGCCACACAACTCTTGATAGCCTCAGTCAAGCCAGAATTAAATCCCATCACTGTGTAAACTCAATATTTTGAGATTTTTCTCTTTTAATTACTTTTCAGACATTTGGAATAGGCAGCATCTGTATCCCCTCATCTTGGAGCATTTTCCCTCAAGACTGGGGTATTTAAATCTAATTAATCTGTCATGGCATAAAATATCACTATTTTAAATATCACTCCAAAATAAGGAAATGTTTTATCTCAGTGCAGTCATGTGTGGTGCAAAAAAAAAAAAAAAATCCCACCAAAAATACCCCCAAGAAGTTAACTAAGAGCCTGTTCTTACCAAAACCCATCTTCTAGACATTGTGTTTGTAACCATGACTTCTTCCTTTTACTACCAAAAAAGGTACTTCAGTCTTACTCTTTTAGACTGGCTGCTTGCACACCTCTTTGCTGCCTCCAGAATTGCTGTGTATGGGTTTGTTTGACTATTGTTATATAGTATTATCTTCAAGTGTGGACTTTTATTCCAAGAAAAGAAAAATCTTTCTGGAACTCACTCCATATTCTAATTTAAAAAACAATCTCAGTCCTATTTAAAAACTGCAGCAAAGCAGAGAAATTCCACGTACATATAAAAAGAGTTCTTCATATTGAGAACAAGAACAGGGGCTGAAGAAGTTACAGAATTTCCATTAGTGCAGATATTCAAAACTCAACTGTATAAGGCCCTCAGCAACCTAATCTAACTCTGAAGCTGGACTTGACTTTGAAGTCAACTTCTGCTTTGAGTGGGAGGTGGATGAAGTAATCTGCACAGGTCATACCCCCACATAACTACCCTATGCGCGTATGTGCAGAAACCCTATGAAAGTGTGTTTCTTGTGTTTCTCTTCCTTCTTCTGTGGCAGCAGCAGCTGTGGCGACATTAAATGGAAATAAGAAAAAAATATACCATAGGTCTTGTGAGATGGAACTAAAATGAAGAGGTTCATGAAGGTACAGGTTAGAAATAGTCTCAAACCAGATCCCGTAATGACTGTAAGCAAATTCAGGGTCTGACCCAGAGCCCACTGAATCCAGCCTTGGTCTCACTACTAAGATTAATATTATCAGAGAGGAGAAAGGAAAGGTAAAAATCATGCAAAGTAAAATTATTCTGTGATCCCACTAATAAAAAGTCCCCTTACAGAAAAAAAGTTGCCACCAAAATCTAATGTCACCTCTATCTGAAAAACATTAATAGAAAAACTATCTGCAAAACCAAAATTAAATGGTAGTATGTTGGAAATAGTAATGGAATCTGATGAGCCTGAGCTGCCACTTCAGAGGAAAGTGTTTAAAGGAGATGTGAACCAAAGATTAAAGAACAAAATGCCTGAAAATGGGATATTTACTTCCAATTAAAATAAACCAGTAGTTTTTATTAGGAGCACTACTGGCTCAGTTTAGGAACTGAACAAACTTAGTTTAGTCCTCGACTCAGCAGAACTTTTAGTTTATTATGCTGGGTGTGTTTAATCTGAAACTCTTTACATTATTAGTTCCACATTTCCCCCCCCCTCCAAAAAAAAAAAAAAAAAAAAGGGAATGTCTAACTGTCTTCTTTCCATCTAAATTCACATCTTCAGCACATGTTGGGATCTCTGTGCTGTCCTCTCTTCAGTGTCCCCAGATCAGTGTACTCTGAGAAGTATTAGTGAAGTATTATGCTGGAGAAAGCTCTTGTGGGAACAGCCTTTTAGACAGCCCATTCCTCTCACATATATTTAAACTCATATTCAGGGAGAATAAATGGCTTGTTTGAGCCCCCAGAGAGAGATGGTGGTGCTTTGCTTGGGCTTGTAATCTTATGTTAGTTATGTGCAGGCTATGGAATAAAACTACTGAACAGAACAAAACTCAGTTTTGTGTCCCAACTTGCCCGTGATTGTCACGTCAGATCACACTTTGGCACATTTTTCTGCACTCAGGATAAACTGCTTCCTACTGACTGCGCACCTGATTTGTCAGAAAACAAGATATGCCAGGCTAACAAAGGTCTCTTAAGAGGCTCCTGTCCTGCAGCCACCCAAGCATTTTCCCACTGACTTCAATTAGATTTAGAGCCAAGACAGAAACACACGACTGTGATGGCTTACCGCACCTTAAACAGCACAGACTTCAGTGAAGATGCAGATGTTCAGTACCTCTCGGTGTTAAATCCTCTCAGAGCCAAAGAAAGCCTTTACTGAAGCAGCTTTCCCGTTTAAGTACTCAGAAATGCAACTGGAATTAATTTAGGCCTGGCCCCCCCACAAAAGTACAACATGATTATTCCAGTGAGGGATGTGATTTTTCCTTCTGGCAATGCAGTTCCTCTGTACAACCCGATTGCAGTTACATTGCTATAAATGCAGCTTATAGCACTATAATTTATTTCCATTCCCATAAACACATTCTAACCAGCCAACAATTGTCCTTGCTCATTTAGTTATATAGCTTTAGCTACACGAACACAGTTAAACTCTTGGGTGTAAACAAAGCCTCAGTGATGGTGTTATTTCTGTTTTATTCAGCTTAGCCCCTCTGCAGAAGGCATCCTACAGTACGTATGTTTCTCGACCCTTAAGCTCAGAACAAGCTTCATACTAGAAATGGCCTAGTAAAATTTTTGTTATTTAACAAACAGTAAAGCACCATATGAGAAACTAGTGAGAGCTGTCATGTTTCACTGCTTATGAGTTTTTAATGTAAACTTCTTATTGCTTGAAATAATATTAAGATGTGGATCCACAGCCTTAGTTTAGTAACAATTCTACTCACAGGGGACTCCTTGCTAGCATTTTCCAATGTCTATGTCTTTTAGCCATATCTATTCCTTCTTCAGAAAGATTATCCTGCAAAGGTCCATCTGCATTTGAGAACTAATTCATCAACTAGATGGGGGTCCACCACATAATTGCTATTTTTCAGATTAATCTGTCCCAATTTGATACAGAACAAGCAGATTCACCTGCAATTGATATTACTATAATTTCTCAAAGCTAGTTAAAAAGGAGTCCAGAGTCCAAACTGACTACACTAGCAGGCAAAATATTACCCCAAAATTGAAGCTCTGGGGCAAAGAAAAAAATCCATGAAAACTGAAAAAGCAGCAAAACAAAAGTTACTGCGACAAAGCTGGAATAGAACTAGCTTCACCTCTTTACAACAATTTGTAAGATTGTTTTCCATGCCTTGAACTGCAGTTTTCACCTATCACGGCACAAACCCCAGGATCAGACATGCATCTTGAAGCCACAACAGTGACGCTAGAGCTGGAGTGTATGACGTATCTTCCCATCAAATTCACATTATCTCAACTCTACGCCACCTGTAGTTTCTCTCTAGGAAAGAAATCCTTTAAGCTGAATTTCCAGCTGTTTTGCACAGCAGGAACAGCATGAAGCATCTGGCGCAAGTCTAAGATTTATGCCTATGGAACGGTTACGACAATTCAACCAGTTCTGTTCCATGGCAACAGCTGACTTACTGCCTTATTAAGTGTGGAAATTGTGATCTAGTTTCTATTCCAGTTTTAGCTGTCTCTACTAGAGCCAGAGCTCCAT